GGCAAGACCAAGTGACTGGAACGGAGGATGACCTGGTTCTTCTTTCTGGCTCGGCCATGGATTTACTTGAACAAAACAATTATCTTCTGTGTACTGCTGTTTGTCAAGCTGTGATATGCTTTACTGCAGACAGGGAAGCTGTCACAAAGAATAAATGGAAATGTTTGGGGGGGTCTTCCTTTGTAGACAGTGAGATTGCTGAAAAAACAACTTGTAAAATATACTTTTTTGGAAGTATAAATATGAAAAATATGTATTATTTACTGCTTACAGTGGAGCCCCAGTGCCGCAGGGTTGTGCAAGTATCGAGGCTATGCATGTATTCCTAGACCTAAAGCATTTTTAAAATGGAAAACTCTTAACTCTCAACCCCTTTTCAATGAAAACAATTCATTGTGAAATCCTCTCTCACTTTCTGTCCTTGTTTTTTTTTTTTTTTTTCCTCGTATTGGTAATTTTTCCAAATGAACTTGTAAAAAAAAATTTTAACAGTAGGCAAGTAGCAGTAGGCTTGTCAAGAATCCACGGTGTACAACACACCTTATGTATTTTACATCCAGCTTTTAAAAGATCACCGTTACTCAGCCTCTTTCTCTTAGTCTATTGTATTTTCTGTTGGCTTCAAGACTACTTAATTTACCTTGCATGTTAACATAAAATCTGACTGTATTAAGATAGAGCAATATTGAAGTTTTTAATTTCAAGCGACTTTTTTCTATTCGTTTAGTGAGAAATCGAGATGATCACCCAATAGCAACGTTCACTTGTTCCCCTTGGAATCCTTTATACATTACACATTTTTTTTTTTTCTTGTAAGCCTAAATATTATGGTATCAGTGAATGCAGGCTGATTGGACAGTGTTTAAAAAAAAAAAAAAAGAAACCAACCCAACCCAGACCAAACAAAACAGCGACTGTAAATTTGCACTCCAAGGGAAAACAGGAAACTGATACTAATTCTGAGATGTGATTCATCAGCTGGTGATGAAAGCACTTTTTTTTTTTTTTTTTTTGAAAGGTCCTTGGGTTCTTTGAAGGAGTAATTCATTAAAAGGAAAAGACAGACAATGTTACGTGCACCTAGTTCAAAGTATTAATATACTACTTCGTCTACGTTGAATCAAGCCAATTGCATCAAAACTTCAGGAGTACTTAATGATTATTAAATCACGTCTCTCCCCACTACGTTAACTCGCAGTTCTTTTACAAACATTATGCTTCTGACTATATTGAGTTACCTACCAGTATTCCTGATTATTGTAATTGTTTTCTGCCATGATGATTGCTCGCCATTCAAAACATCCTCAGTAAGTGGCTTCTAATTTTGCTTGCTCTAAATCTCGCTAGCTGTACCTGCTGCACCTGACTACTTACAACTGAGCCTGCAAAAGCCCACTTACGGTCAGTTTAACCAAGGAAAATGATCTCTTGTAGAATCCAAGTCCAAAATTTCACCAGTGCTTCCCATATCCAGTTCAAAATTTTGGGGGGGCGGGAGTTATACCAGTATTTTAGAATGGCGCTCTAACTGATGTAATTTCCGTTCTTTAAATTAAAGAAGCCCTTTAGGGTAAGATTTTCAGCTCCTTGTAGCAGCTATTGTGCCAGAATTCATCACTTCTGTTAAAGAGGCCTCAGCATAATCTCTCCACAACATGATGTGTTTTCCGAAGCTTTTTCTTGTGTATCTTTGTGGGTTTTCAGATGCTTATTTTAGATATTATTTTCTTTCAGGATTCCCTTAACTCTGAATCTAGCCCTTGGTAAATATGTATGGAATATTTTTAACTTGTATTTAGGGCTTGAAACATCATTATTTGTTCCTTTTTATCATGCTCACATGAGAAAAGCAAAGCTAAAAGTTTAGACTTTTGGTGGCAATAGCATGAAACTGAATATGTGGTAACGGTATTGGGTTTTACGAATTAATATTCTGAATTATTTTGAGTTAATTCCCCTTTGTAGGTGTCCCAGCACGTTTTCTTTTTCCTGAAACGCTGCTATACTGAGCAGATGTTGAACTCGGCTGTAGGCTGATGTGGGCAAGGCTACAAAGGATTCGATAGCAGCCTGCACCTGCCGGAGCTACCACGGTGAGAGTGCTGAACTCTTCTTCTTCGTGACAGATGATGTAAGGGCCGCAAACCGTGACTGAAGAGGTTTAAGCTGGATGCCAGATGCTTCTTCCCCAGATGGGCAGCGCAGTGGTGAAGGAGGAGGAGGGGAGAGGAGGTTTTACAGACCCAGCTCCACGCAGCCCTGCCCCCGCTGCTTGGCATCCCTGCCACAGGGCTCTGCTGTGGCCCCGCGGGTTTCAGTGACTTCAGTTAATATCACGTTAGTTTGAAAATCGTTGCTCTTTTCCTTCACGCTGGCACTTTGCTTGTGTGAACAGCTTTCCTGAAACAAACTATCTCCAAGACTGGGTAAGGCTTTACTGAGAAAGTCTTACCAAGCAAGACTTTGTAAGACAAAGTATGGCTATGTCCCCTTCTTCTTCTTCCCATCGCTCCTCAGTCGCAGCTGACCTCTTCAAGGGTTCGGGTCCAGCAGAAACTGTTTTAAGGCTCGGGTGCCGTAATGGAGAGGAGATCGCGGGGCAAGTACTTCCCCCTCCCAGCTGGAAGTTAATCGCCCAGAAGCCCCAGCCCCTCCGGAGCGGGGAGGGCCTCTCCCCGGCCGCGCAGC